GCTCTTGTCTATCGCATCAAAAATTTCGCAGGCATCCAGCTGGCATGGTCATTAGCCTGGACGTACGAATGCACGTGACAATGTGCGAATTATCAGCGTACAGATAGAGAGACAAAGAGAGATAAAGAAAAGCGGAAAACCTTCCTCTCTATCCGCATATAAAGATAGTCTGATATTCTCTATAAAAGCATTCAGCAAAATAAAATCAAATAGGATAAAGTGAAATTAATTGGATAAAAAGTACATTATTATTTAAATCATTCAGCAAAATAAAATCAAATGGGATAAAGTGAAATTAATTGGATAAAAAGTACATTATTATTCAAATCATTCAAGATCGTAAAAAAAAAATATAAAAAGTACAATAAAACCATAAATTATTTATTCATATACACATGGGCGTCCGCAGGAATTTTCTCCAGAGAGAGGCATAATTAAATTTTTTTGTTTCCTATTATATTATTCTTTCGTAATTTTTTGAATTCAAAATTTTTTAATTATTTTTTTATTTTAATATTTTTATCCCTAACAGCACACGTATCCCGAAGATGTTCAGAGAACATCCTAAGGATGTTCGAATGTCCTCTGGATATCCTTTGAATATCCTATAAATATCTTTCGGATATATTGTGCTATGCTATTAGGAATATTAAATAAAATTGCAAATAAATTCCAGTGTTTATTCACAAGGAGAGTAAATATTAATTAATGCTTAATTTTTTTTATATACATAAAGATCAAGCGACTTGGAGAGATTCTCGATTCGAAAAAAAAAAAAAATGCATATTTATTAATCCAAAGAGCGTAAAAACATGGGAAAATATGGAGCATGGCGCGAAAAGATGCGCGTCAACGAGAAATCGCGAGCACTCGCAGATATCGAGATGATCTCGCTTTTCTCTCGCACGCACTCGACTTTAACACACGCGGGCCATTATAATACCTACATCTCTCGAACTCGTTCGGCGTGCACTCGAATCGCATTATCTAACACCGTCGCGCCTGCCGCACGCTCTTGTGTTATACATTTGCCGCTATTTAAGCCGCAAAGCCTGCAAAGCAAACTCGCGGACGCACGTGCGCATTTCAAAGCTGACACGGGTGCACGCGCGCGCGGGTGTTCCACTTTTTTTTCTACGTGATTCATCATTAGAGCGAGACTTTTGACTCGCGCGTGCAAATAACTCGCGAACGATAGGGCACGTGCCGATGATATAAAAAACCAATATGCAGTATTGGACTTTTGCTGCAAAACGTAAAAATGTGCTGCAACGATGCATAATTATGTGATCGGAAGAAAAAATAAAGTAATAATTAAAACATTTAAAATAAAAGAATATAATAAAAATTATTAAATTTAAATTTTATTTGCTCATTAGAAATTAATAAAGAAAAATAATAAGTGACCCTCTAATTATAATTAAAAATAATATAATTGAATAAATATAAATTGATTTTCATATAGATATTTCTTATATCGCGTAAAATATTCAAAATGTATATTATATGTAAAAAAAGGAATGCGTGATTTTTGTTTGATATGTCTAAATATATCTATATAAAGAATGTGCGTAACTACAACTTAAATTATAGGTGATCGATGTAATGCATAAGTGTCGGTTGGATAAAACAAGTGATCTTTAAATGGCAAGCAAGCGTTACGACAGACGTATGATTTTGTTTCAGCTTTATTCTTATATAATTTAATAATGATATAGGAAGACGCGCTAATCTTAATGTATAATGTCACGTCTGAAATTTGACGCATATTGGGCAAAAGTAGGCCATTACTTTTAGGTCAGACATATCCGGTTAGAACTTATTACAGTGGCCGACTTAGAACTCCAAGAGCTAAACGCACAACGGTATTTAAAAGTGATGCGTAATGGACCCTTTGGTTTATATAATTAGGGGAACACCTTTTCTGAATTATTATTTTGAAAAAATTAATGCATTTTTTTTTAATAATAAAAATAATCGAAAATGTCCGGAAACACTGGGAGAATCGCTGAATTAATCGCTACGCTGCTTTTTAACATTCTCGCTTCGCGAAATGGCGCTTAATGAGTAGATCCCGAGTCGACTCATCGTGTGTTTACTCAACTGTGTGTGTACGCGACTTTATATGCTACTTTCGTATATAATCACCACTTCGTCCATTAACGGCAACTCCTGACGAGGAAAGAAAAAGAATGACTTTTCGCGCCCAAGGACTCGCCGCTTAATTGAAATATTTAACGTACAGGTATCTCGGGAAAAAGTATACATATGTCGATACACGTATATAAAAGCATGCGAAGACGAATAATTAATCGTTGGAAAAATAACGTTACGTTGTAATTATAAATTCTTGCGCAATATAATTACTCGAGGTAAACAAAATCATATATTTTTAATAACAGGATGTCTTTCCAACATCTTAGCATAATATTTTGACCGCATAAATTAATATAATCAACGTTGTTTTCGCGGAAAATGTCGTATATAGATGGATTCTCATTAGTTCACAAATCGTTACGTTTGTATGTCGCAATTAATTTCTGCACAATGATAGAAAAACAAGTATTACAAAATAGCGTGTTTTAATCGTCTCGATCGGTTCGGTCGAATTTAAAGTGGAATGAAAAAAGCTCGCGGAGATAAAAAAAACTTCGGGGAGGATTAAAAAAACGAGCGAGTTTGCCCGACTCCGAAAGGATGGTGCACCACGTCGCGAACCCGATGATGCGTTCGAGTCGTGAGGAATTTCGAGGATTCGCGAAAGAAAGACGACGGTTTTATGGCTGCTTGGCAACGAGGCCAGGCACCTAGCCAGACAAACCAGCCAGCGGCAACCGGAGGCGCCTACCGCGGGTCCGACGATCCGTTGAGGTCAGAGCCCCTCTTCACAAAGAAGGGCCCCTCCCTTGGCGCCCTCGAACGTCTATACAGGGTGTCCCACTACTGCCGATTACCCCGAAGCGGTACCGAAATGCAGGGTTGAGTAATAACTAGTTGATTAGTTAATAGTTAACAAAAAGTTAAAAACTTTTAACTTAGCTTATTTAATTTAAAATGTATTAATTTTTGACTTCAACTTAGTTAGTTTTCACCTTAAACTTATGAACTTTTTTCCTAAGTTAAATATTTTTATCTCTGAATACCATTTGTCTTTTTATAAGTTATAAACGTATTATTTTTTAATTAAAGTATTATTAATTTTTATGTTTATTTGTCATCAATTGTAATTACCAAAAAATATATTATAAAATATAGTTATTATATATTTCAAAAGAATTAACAAACCAAATTCTAATTTTGATTTAACTTCAGTTAATTTAATCTTAACTTAACTTTAACTGAGTTAATTTTTTGTTCATCAAACCTAACTAAATTAATTTTATAAGCAACTATAACTTCAACTTAACTTAGTTTAAAAAAATCATTAACTTACCCAACCCTATGTCGAAAAGGTTATTAATCGCAATTTGAAAATTCGCTCGACCTAGTCGGCCGATGATGCATTGCAAACAAGACGTATTGTAAATAAGACTGGTAAACATGCTCTAGACTGATAAAAAATGCTATAGTGTTATTCGTCCATTATGATTTGTTTGCACGAGAGATTTTCGACAGCTCGTTAATTGTAAAATTTATCGTCCGGGTAACATTTCGAGTTTTAATAATATTTTAAGTCTTATAAAATGATGATGAAATAATAAATATCTTCTTTAAGAAAAATATTCCAGTCTGAGAATAATTTTGTGAGATTACGTAAAAAAATATATCATTAAAATATATCTGTCTGAAATGGATAATGTATAGTGTCATAAATATAGATTGACTAGAATTTTTATTAGACATGGCAATAAATAAATGCCCATTTATTTTGTTGCACTTTATGCATTTGTGTATAAAAAGCATCGTTTACGAGCTGAGATAATTATTGGTGTTCTTACTGTATTATAAAAATAGACGATTTTATATATATATATATATATATATATATATATATATATATATATATATTCAAACTGAAAAGTCCAAATCTGTCGAAAATCTAATTGTAAGATTTTATTAACATAATACAAGTACATGTTATGATATAGGCAATGTGCCAATAATTGACTCATCAGATTTCCCGATAATGACTGATAAACATCAAATACAATCTATTATTGAATTACAACGTGCAACAATAGATATCTTTTCAAAATACGATAAGACAATTTCCTCACAATACGAAACATACAGATTCTTATGTATTTCTAGTTTCAAAGTGCAAATAGAAAATTCATCATTATTAAACGATAATAAAAAAGAAAGGCTATTTCAGAGTACAAGGCCGAGATATTAATAGAAAATACTGTTGTATGCACAGACAAACGCACACTTAAGTGATATCAATTTAGGTAATGGCCGTTACGGTGCTGGTCTTTTGTCTCTATATAATGTTTTTGCCGCCAATATAATTACTATCAATTTAATGAGGTATTATTGTATCGGCTATTAATAACTGTGTATTTTTGACCAAAGTGACATTTAAGGTTTTCAATCAAAGAGAACAAATATTCGCGCGACTTCTCGCACGGATTTCGAATTGTCAAATGTCAAAAGCGCTACACACGCGTTCTATTCGCTGGCAGCGTGAATTTCGAGGCACGCCACAGTCTAGTTTTGCCGTGCTATGTTAATTTCGTCATCGAGGAGCCGACCTATGACCAACTTGCGACACCCAGCAACGAGACGTTTCGCATGCCGAGACCGAAGCCAGTTTTTGCATTCCGCGATCACGTCGCTTTTACAACTGCGAGAATCGTACCGGGAAAAACCGTTTCATATATCGTTCGTAAATAAAAATATGGAAATGTCGTTCCCGGCAGAACCAGGAACCGGGTCATATAAATGCAGTTTTACAGTTGTTGCGCGCACATGCCGGCGTTTCTCGCCGAAACTGCGCAAAATAACGTTAACGGAAAATAACGTGCGGATTTAAAGAAAAAAAAATATGCATCACTCACCCATATGAGCGAGATCGATGATCGGGATTTCGCACTTGCTGAGAAGAGTCTCGCAAGTCTGCGTGACCATAGGCGCGCTGGTACAGCAGCTCATCCTGCCAAACTGACAACTGTCGTCGAGTCCTTTCGCGGAAATCGGTCGATCCCTTTCGAACGCCGAATACCCTCTCTCTTCTCTGTCTACGATGACGCTCTCGTTCCAACTCAGGCGTCTCGACTTTCTCTCTCTCTCTCTCTCTCTATCTTTCTCTTTTTCTTTTTATCGCTGCACAGCCGTTAGCGAGATGCTGACAGCGAAGGCAGGAACGAGCCACTAAACTTCGCGCGCGATATCGATTCGGCCACCCGGTATAGGGGCTCGCTAGAGCAGACTCACTGGAATATCCAAGAGATCATACTATCACTGCACACACGATCATCCGACAGCTCTCGAACACGCGCGCGAGATGGGTCAGATCGAAACGGGGTACTTATATTCTCCGTCACGCGTGAAAAGCGTGAAAATATGGCTGTTAACGGTCGTTTAACGGTAGCCGTAAGAGACGAGTTTATTGCACGATTGACGATGCGGCGAGCAGTGTACGTGGCTCCGGACTAGTGAGCACATGCTACGACGGCGAAATGGCGGTCAGAAGCGATCACTCAAGCACTAAATTCGAAATTAATCATACGTGAGAACCGAACTAGACCGTCGCGTCGCGCGGCTGTTCGCGAACTGTCGAACTTGCGCGATTTATTCAAGCGTCGAGCCGCCGAGGCCGAACGGCTCCGAGCGGCTCCGAACGCTCCCGAACGGCTCCGAGCGCTCCCGAACGGCTCCGAGCGCTCCCGAGCGCTCCCCAGCTGATCCGAAACTCGCCGAGGACGCGGGAAAAAATTCGCGCGCGAAAAATCTTGATACATATACATATACATCAACGGATTATTCTCCTTGTGTTTTTTTCCTTAGCGGATCTGGCGGCGCAAAGCTGATTCTACATTATGAAATCTGGTAATTATATTTGAGGAATGACGATTGATTATCGCATCTGACGAAAGCGATCTTTCTCAATCTGTATTGCTGCAATGTCGCTTTGATAAAATATTATATTGATGTATCATATTGTATTGATGTAATGGATATTTTAAAATAATTATATTCTGTTAATTACTATTTTGAAGAACTATTTGTTTTGCAAATTTCTTTGATAAAAACGTATTTAATTTATGCAAATGTCTTCGCTATCCATGTTTGTCTTATGTATTTTTTTACATTTATAATTCAATTTATTATTATATAATTGATATGAAAATTGCACTTACATATTATTATTCATTATATTTTGAAATCCATTTTACTTAAATGTAATATTAATCGAACAATCTGCACAAGATCGACATATGGCTTATCTATCTGTTTCTTTAAAACATATATGGTGCGTACGACTGTTGCTCGATCAAACAACCTTTGTCTTGTTATTATTTTCATAATATCCGTTATTCAGGTTTCACATGTGTTTGCATCCAGTTTAATTTCTTTGTAAAGCATACTCTAAAGATGTTCATTATACGTTATTTATACACGAAATAAATCAATTTTTAAATATTTTTTTTTTTAATTCTTTACTTCAAAATCTTAATGTTTTTTAATAATTATTTATAATTAACGAAAAATTGTAATATATAATATTAATATTATATTTAAAGTAACGATTAAATAATTTTAATAATTGAAGATTGAAGAATAATAGAAAAATGTATTATTACAAAAATTCAAATTTAAGTATAAGAACTATATATGTTTAAAATAAAATAAAAAATCTCAAAGCTCATTAAAATAATTACGATAAGATCTTATTAATTAGATGTTTTAAGTGACAAATGTTAAATATGATTGATATGAAATGATCAAAAATATTAGAAAATATAGGAAAGATATCCTTGTTTGAACAAACAGATACGCGTTGGAGTTACAAGCACTTAAATAAGGTTAATGACAAAGTCACATGTTACTGTTTGATGTTTATACAACTGAGCTTCTATTATGTAGGTCAACTAAATCTATAATTTCAGAAAGAAAAACCCTAGATCATTTATTAAACAATACATGTAACACGACTTACCTCTAATCACTGCAATTGGTATTTTATCAACGTTAATGCGCAGTTTATTAGAGAGCCGTCACTATAATGACCATGTGGAATCTATGAATCATTAACGCAGCAGAGGTTTTAACGTGTGCGTTTGTTTCGAAAACATTCCACAGATATTTTATGTTCTTCATGAACGCTCGGTTTAATCTTTGCTACGTCCCAAGTATTGCTGAGCAAAATATCGTTTTATTACTTTCATATTTATCACACAATTAATTTTATATCACATGATTAAAAAATTAAAATGACATATAATTTCTATTTAGAATAATTCTCACTACGAAATCCTTTTAGTCTAACATCTTGGTTTCATATTATACATATATTATATTCATAACAAGTTTATCACATTCTAATGATTGCTGACAAAAGTTATCTAGTTATCGTATTCAAAAAATAATAATAAAGAAAGTTATGTAGTTCAAAAATTTCATGTAACTAGAATTATAACAATAACTTTAGTTTTAAGGTAGAAGAACTCTCTCACTAATTTCTGGAATTCAGAATAGAGCAATTGCGTCTGGGTAATCTAAGTTTCTGGTTTTCCTTGATGCAAACGACATTCGTGGACAATGGGTGACGATGCATCGTTCTTTTACGCCAGGTGGATTTCTTAACCGAAGAAAATCGTTGCACGTAAGTCCTTGGAATAGTGTTTATAATGGTGAATGGCACAGCGGTACATCTTACCTGCTGAGAAGACGTCTGAAGAGGCACAAATCTGCAGACCATCTGTGACAGTAGTCCAGCATTCATATTTAAAACATTAAAAAATATTTCGCTTACAGAATGAATCTAAAAATCTACGAACTTGTAAAATTGGTATAAAAATTATTAATTAATTCGATGATCAAGATATATTAATTTAAAGTTAAATCCAGATTGTGTGAGTTGACAAACTTTTTCTTTCATATAATATTATTAATTTACTATTTAAAATGCAAAATGTATCTTTCCTTCAAAAATTTAAGATGCATCAATACTTTGTTATTAAAATATCTTGAATCTTTGCTTTGAAAGTACTTTATATATGCAGATAAGATTAAGTAAGATAACACACTCTAGTAATTAAAAAGATCAGCAACACTTGTATAATGATTAAAGTGCTGGTCATGACGTAAGCGACTATGACGATTCTAAGAAGTATGGGGCTGATGACTTCCGCACAGCCGTTCACGTTTATCGTCTTGTCATCTGTTATCTGCATGTGCATACAAGGTGCCACAACGCGCAAATTGCAGCAGCTAAAGGGGACTCCGAGATATCTGTAATCCTCGTCCGAGATTCTGCTTTGACCTGCCATTTCCTCCCGGGATGCGTAATCCACTCTCTTTTATCGAAAATAATTTAATATATATTTTTCTTTTGTTAATTCGTCTTAAAAAAATTATCATCGAAAACATGTCGGTAGAAAATGTCATATATATTGCAAAATATAACATGGTCAATATAAATATTCGTATAACATAAATAAAAATATTATAAATATTATTTAATAATTTGCAATTCTTAAAGATCTGAAATAAGAAAAAAAACAATGTTACATGGCAAATTATATATCAAACTACCACGATAAAAGGAACCAATAAAACGGATCGATTATTTATCGGTATTCTGCGAATCTTCGATAATCGATCGAAGCGGAGAGAAAAATATTTGAAAAGGTTACCTGCCAGTCGAAATGAAACCAATCAGTATAGGAGGTATGGCCACAACATTGTAAGACGAATTGGATTTCGTCAATCGCGTACTTGTACGACGTTACACTGACGTACAGGCGCATGGATGTGTTGAAGACGTCGACCAGCGTCTTCTGTCTTACACTGACATGGTACCCTATTGAGGCTAAGGTCGCCGTGTTCATAGCGGTACACACAATTATTATTATCAAAAGACACCTTAGCATTAGCTTCGCCTTTAGACGAAAACTCGGTAAATTGCGCCTGCAAGAATATCTGTTATCACAAATTGTATATCGAGAGAAATCAAACAAATTATTAAAAGAATATAATTCTTATAATATAATTAAAATATAATTAAAATAGAATTATAATATAATTAATTATTAATATAATTAATTATTAATATATTTAATTATTAATATAATTAATTATTACTATAATTAATTATTATTATAATTAATTATTACTATAATTAATTATTATTATAATTAATTATTACTATAATTAATTATTATTATAATTAATTATTGCTATAATTAATTATTATTATAATTAATTATTAATTATCTTTCTGGTTTATATCTGCTAGATATACACATAAGTGACTCGTCATAAGATATTAAATGAAGCGAAAATGACATAAAAAGAGGGAGTGATTTATATTCCGTGATTTTTTCCTTACTTATTTATATCTGTTATTAAATAAATAAACATTACCTGCGTATGGTGCGCACTGTTAAAAGGGCTGACGGCAATCCTAAAGCCATCTCCGCCAAGGTGAGAGCGATCGGCTGGAAACCACCTGCGAACCGGATCACCTGCCACTCTGCGAATATCTCCAAGGCGACTACGAGGAGACGTTTTGCCTCGAAGACGGCCAGGGTGAATGCTACACCATAGCTGAATTTTACATGCCATTCGCAGGTGCAACTTGGATTTTTGCGATTAATCCGCCTGCGATTATCTCCCGTCATTCAAATGACGCTGTGCCTATTTTATAGTCAATTTTATGTTTTGTATATATTTTTATATGTAGAAAACGATATTTATATTGCAAATAATTTTTCAGATTTGTATCAACTATTTGCATTAATATATATCTCATCAATTACAACCTTGCTTTAGCTATTTTAAAATAATGTTTCTGTGTATAACATTATTTCGCGATGTCGAATTATTGCCGACGTGCATCGCAGTTATTTTGTACACCATTCATTAATCATCGTTGTCGTATACAGCGGAAGAGGTATGCAAACAAAAAATTGTTTTGATGAGCTACAATTGGACCTGCTGCGGAACTATAATGATCGTGGGATTTAAATGAGTTATGCTTGCAAATGTCTCACTATGAAAATTGATGACAATATTTTGCGTAAAATAATTAATTTTCTATTTCTTTTTCTTCTCTAATTGTGTAATCATTTTATGATTTAATCTAATAAATAATAATATAAATAATAAACTTGACTTGACAAAACTCTGAAATGTTCTTTGAGAATTATTTCTTAATATTATCTTAATCATTATCATTATTAATTATTGTATACAGTTTATAATATTAAAAGGGAAGGAAAACTTCATATTACACAAATTAAATAATTTATATATATATATATATATATATATATATATATATATATCAGCTTAGAGATTGAAAAAATCAGGATTAATTTTGAAATTATTGCAAATAATTTAAACTTTTGTGTTGAAGAGAACTTACCAGAAGGCATCATGCGCTAAAATAGGATAATTTACCGAAATTTAAAAAGAAACTTATGGTCGTTATAATTATGATTATATGGTTAATGTAAAATGTGAAACATATCACAACGTGAAATGCGTCTAACGTAATAATCATTGTTTTCAATAATTTAATATCGATTATCGAGGTTTTGATACACAAAATGTATCTATCAAAATGCAAGGGAGGTTTTGGGGTTAAACCCCCCCCTTTGCATATTAAAAAGCTATACAATAATACAATAATTTGTTTCTTAATTTTAATAAGAAAATTTAAAAATTTAAAGCCACATTTTTATATAATTTATGATTTAAGTAAGAGAAAAATATGCATAAAAATATGCATAAAAATATACATAAAAAATATACCTACATTTTAAACATTTGTGTTATTTGCAAAATGTTCTATTTATTGTAAATAATTAAATGTAACTAATAATGTTTTAAAAATTTTTTTAATTTCAAATAGACACAATTAGAAATTGTCAGCATTATTTTATCTTAGTGACAATCATTACTATAATTATATTGGTAACTATAATTATTACAATTATACAAGTCTATAATTACATACATACATTATTAAGCTTCCCTTTTATGACAGCTTTTAAAGGTCGCAATTGTTGTTTTCAAGAATACATGTACGATATACGTATTTTCTTTAGTTTTTCTCAATAAACAATTATTACACCATATACACATATAAAAATAAATTAATAATTGGTTCTGTACACATATTAACATACCTTTTTTACATTGACTCTCGTAATTTTAATATAATTTTATAAAACCGATATTATCCCCCTTATTATTATTTCGTTGATTAAACATTCAATCAAAATGATAATGAAAGATTTTAACGTCGGCGTATTCTTTCCCGAAGGTCCAATAAGCAAGTAAAGGATATTTTTCCAAACAAAAAATCGATAAACGCATTAAAAAATTAAGAATTGCACGGAAAAATGGGGACCACCAGGCATCGGGTCGCATTAAATATTTTAGCACAAAATGTTGCAGATTGAATAAGTACCAGCTGTAAAACGGCATAGTCGAAGAATCTGAAAATATATTTTGTATTATCTATATTGTATAAATAATAAATTATATCTATCATATATCTTAGACCTATCGTTTCTTAAACTCAGAATCAATATTATTTATGATCACAAAAAATCCATTAATCTGATTAAGAATTTTAGTGAATTTTTATTTTGTTATTTATTTTATTTTTTAATTCTGTCACATTATTTTTTTTGGAATTAAAAAATTGTATATATCTATTTTATTAAAAATTAAAATATTTTAAAAAATATTAAAATATTAAAAATATTAAAATATTAAAAATATAGAAATATAAAAATATTAAAAAATTTTATATATCTATTTGAGTTTGACAATCTACCTATTTCGATAGAATGATTATTGTTACGCGCAGTCGAAGAAGCCAGATAAAGTGTGAATGTCATGAACGCTATTGGGTCGATATTAAAGTTGATGGGCCAGAGACTCTGCAGCATCGCGTCGCCCATTTCATCAAAGTATTCATTCTTTTTGGCCAGAGCGGGTATAAATATATCTTCCAATAACCTTTGGCATAAAGCGCGAGTTTCTTCAACCGTTCCCGTGCAGAGATTGAATCTAGAAGAGCAAAAGTTTGCTTATGAACATCACATAAATGACAGAGATATCTTATATATTATATAGAAAAAAATAAGAAATTTTGGAAAATATTAAATATTTTTGTAATATGCCTTGTAATTTGTTTTATATGTATAATTTATAAATATTATTATTTTGTGGAACAATTTAAAAGAGCAAAATTTTTGACAATTATCCGCCTCGCATTTTATTTTATTAATTATTAATAATAATAATAATAATAATAATATTATTATTATTATTATTATTATTTATTTTATTGTATGCAATAAAAGACAAGTAAGGATACCGACTTGTCGTCCATCCCGAGCATGCTTCCGATGACTTTCCAGAGATGCACCACACCTTCCATTTCTTCGGGAGTAGTTTTCACTCCTAAATATTCCCCGCTTATCATAGTATATCCGATAAATCCGAATTGAGCGAGTGCCATATCCAGTTGTGTTGGTTTATGAATGCCAGCCTCAGTGCTTCGTCGGAATGCAACACAGTGCTTTCTCCTCACGATCTTCAAGGACTCCAAGAATCTACAATAAGTTCATAACACTGCATATATATTCATAAAGAAAAATATTCATATATTCATAAAAATACATATAGAAATAAATAATAAATAAATGTATATATATATATATATATATATATATATATATATATATATATGTATAATAAGTGTAAAAAATAATCGAAAAGATATATATGATTATTATTCATATTTCACATATAAATTATTTGAGATTATATAATATACATTATATATACATATATTCAAGAAAAATATACCAACGTTCAAACTTAATTATTTAAATACATAATTTGTTATGTAGATTGAAAATCTCATAGTCTCATATAAATTTATGTTTTTGTAATTTCGAATTGATTAATGTATATGACAGTTTTCTCTTCGAAAATTTTAATTACTTATTATTTATTATTAATTCTGCTAATTTTACAAAAATTATTTATAAAAATAATCTGAAAAAAATTATAAAAATTATTTATTAAAAATAATTTGAAAAAATTATAAAAATTAATGAAGTAGATTTTATAGTATATTACAGTTTTTTCTTTGAAAACTTTAATTACTTATAATTTATTATTAATTCTGCTAAGTTTACAAAAATTATTTATAAAAATAATCTAAAAAAAAAGATAAAAATTAATAAAGTAGATTTATATGTTTATACAAATTTATTCGTATCAATTGTTTTTATTTTTAATAATTAAAAATTTCATAATATTATATGTATATCACATTTCTTCTATATTCGAATTAAATAATTTTATGTTGAATATTACTTTGATTTTTGATATACTCTGTTCTTTTCTTATATTGTGATACTCTCATATTCATGTATTCGAATCTTACTCGTTGGGTTTGCCATGAGGATCCTTTTCGTGCCATACGAATGTGTGGAGGATCGTCATCGCATATCTACGATACGCCATACAAGGAGTACCGCTTTGTTTGGTGAATCTAACTACTTTAAGTATGGTCGAAATAGCCAAGAGAGATACCAGACCACAAAGTTTTGCAATCATCATCGAGAAAACATTATTGTAAAAGGCTTGCTGACCAAGTCGGAATTTTTTCTCATCGTAGAACGGCGGCAATTCTGGTTTTAAAGATTCGTAATTTACCAGAGTGTCAGCACCTTCCTTAAGAATGATACGCAATCGTTTCTCCACCACATCTGAAAATTTATCGAAAACAATTATGCTTTTAAATAAAATAATTTAGCAAAAAAGTTATTAAATTTCTAAATATTTTATCTATATATGTTTTAACATAAAATATTTTTAAGTAACGCATATATGTGTTCCATTTTGTTCTTTTAATTTTTTAAAATTCAATATACATTTTCTTTTTTATTTGATCATTCTAGCCCGCAAATAATACCTATAGATCATAACAAAATTTTAATATAGAATACGCAGTAATATGCTTGATTATTTTAGTTCCTAATTTGCATTGTAAATTTTGCCAACATTTTTGAATAAGAAATTAAAGAGCAAAAAATATATATAAAATATATTTTTATCACGGTGACGTCTCCAAAGGAATTTTTGCTGAAATCATGCTTATTGTGTGAATACATAATGGGGTATTTCCAAAGCTACGCTTGGCAGAACAGGAGGATGCATGTAATGTAACGATGTTGTGCGATCGCGATCGCACAAGTCGACTGAACATGTTCCGCATGTAAAAATGCCAAAATCAACGTTGACATATGTGCACGTGTACGTGAACAGAATCGAAGAAATACTTCAGAATTTTAACAATCTGACTTAACGCATGCGTCCCATGCAATTATATATGTATGACCAGATACACGATTATTTGTCGGACAATAATTAAAAATATACTAAAATAAAATATATTAAAAATAAATTAAAATATAAAATATATTAAAAATATACTAATAATTATATTAAAAATATATTAAAAATAAATTAAACTATAAAATATATTAAAAATATATATGGAATTTTTTTTATTAAAATGTGCTGTGTTATGCAACAGAAGTATTCTTCTTTCCTTTGCAGTTATATTAATAAATATATAAATAAGTATTAGATTATTAAGTATAAAATGAAATATTATATTGCCTGCAATACAGATAGTTTTGTATAACGATAAGATCTGTGCTCTCTTCATGTAAATCACTCATTTGATATTTGATTTTATCCGATCAAGTGCAATGGTCGATCAAGTTGCATATTAATCCGATCGTATTTTATCGGACAAATAAGTGACGGCTTATTTTCCGTTCACATTTAATCGGAAAGTACATTACTGATATTATTTTATCGGATAGACCTAGAGCCGATCGAAAAATAAAAATCGATCGGATTAGTACTAAATAGCTTTTTTCGATTAAAATTGCTCAATATTTTCCTCAAGCGTAATTATTCAAAAATAATGACAATAATATGTCCATGCATAATTAAAAATCGAACTAAGAATTCAAGTTGAATCAAGAAAAATATTTTTTATGAGATATTTGAAGTGCAAAATTATATAATCCAAGATGCAAGACATGAGAATTCATTAAGAATTCATTAATATAGCCTCTCGCCTTGAACTTTTTGTTACATATTTGCATATAAATTTTTCATAAATGTTTTAAAAGAGAGGAAGAAGTATATCACATGTAAATTTCATGCAAATTTAAGACATTTATTACCATATATCTCAATTCTATAATCTTTTACAATTTTGAAAAAACATCAAATGTTAAAAAATGCTGAAAGTTGGTGAAAATCTAAAAATCGATATCAGTCAGAATATCTTTATGTAAAATATTAAATATTTTCTCTATATCAAAGAAAAATCTTCATGTCAAAATATATATTGACATGAAAATTTTTCTTTGATATAGAGAAAATATTTAAACTTTTATTTTTCGAAACGTTATGACTATCCAAATATTCTATTCTTCAAATGTATGTATATGTGTACTCTATTATTATATGTATGTTTGTATTATATCCACAAAATATTATCTTGAAATAAGAATATAAAAATAAAGATGTGTGCTTTTTATGTTAAAATATTCGTATTGCTTGACAAGGATATACAACCAATGTGTGTTACTACACGGAAAAAAATATTAGCATATATATAATTATTCCTATATAATTATTAAATACTTTGTAACGTAGCAAATGCAGAATTTATAAACTTATAAGCAAAAAATATCGGGATTTGCATAAGATATAGACTAGTTAAATCACATTTTTTAGCAAAACATTATTAAAAATATTTATAAAATTTAAATAATATTTTTATATAAAAAGATTGATTCAAAAGATATACATTATAGCATTAAGTACTGATTTTTATATTTTATTTTATACATTTTTAAAAGAATTCAAATATTTTGTAGATATTTTTCATATAGAACGTGACATTAAAATATAATCAGTGTTACATGTGTAGGAATCGAATAAATTTTATTATTATATTTGTATATTTGACCGATGTACTTGTCCCGTCATTCTCGAGTCGGGTTATCTTGCGAGTTAAATAAAAGAGACTGTACACGTGTCTTCATATCTTTACATCTTTTATATATTAAATACAAGTGCTAAAGACCAGCTAATATTAATTTATTGATTTAAATAAATAATTTCCGAAACCCGCGATCCTACACATGTATAATACTATAATAATATATTTATTAATAAATATTTATTTATTAAATTAAATATTTATTAAATTTAAAATAATAATTAACCTTATAATTAAAAGATTTTTGCGGATATAGTTGAAAAAATTCGAACTCATCGACAGAATCTGCAAACTGTTAAAAGGATACAAACTAGTTTGTCCGTTCATTTTCGATGCATACTTTAGTATGAACATGCGATTTCTTTTAGCATTTCGTAATTTTAATGCGGGAAGTACTGCAGCAAAAAATACTTTAACAAATTAAGTTGCATTCTATTCGTACTTTCGTTAAATAAGCTGTGCTTCTCTCATGCAAGATGAAAATGAAAGGGAAATCTTTTTTGCATAAATTCTTATTACTATGTTGCATTTTTTCGTCAAACATATACCATATGTATGTGACAGTAAATAAATAACTATTCTATTAAATAGGCGACTTGTATTAATTTTCTATATTTTTAATAGTTAATTTATTGTTTTTTCTAATTAAATAAAAAAGAAACAATGTATAATAATTTTCATTACTGTTTGCAATTAAAATTAAATAACGTACTGTTTGAAAATATTTGGTATATTTTAATATTTGTTTGATATCTTTTAATGATTTGTTTTCTCTAAAACAAATAAGAAATGAAACTTCTATTGTATACTTAATAATTTCGATATTCATTCGATCATTCATATAATTTAGCACACGATTCGAAAGTCTTATATAATGTCTCTTCGGAAATATATATGGAAGAGAAAAAACAGTTTCTCTACATCTTTTTTGCGGTCTACTAAGCACAACCTTGAAGGAGATAGTTCATTTTTAATGACCATTAAATATTTCGCAAAATATTTACGTCACCTTTTAATTTTTTTGCCATTTATGTTTGAGAACCCTTGTAGATAATCTTTAAATATATAAATATATAAATGTATATAATATATAAGCAAAAGTATATATGGTAAATTTAAATTGTAATCTACGAATACATATGTGTATGCAATATCAAGTCTAGAAAGCTGCTGGTATAAAAAATATAAAACATATGCATACGCAATTATAATTTCCTTATAAAAATTTATCACTAATAACGCCAATTAATTATTTATTTCTCTCGCATTTATTTATTTATTTCCGTAGGGGGGTTAGAGGTTATTGAAATTAAATCTCAAATATAAAATTATGAGATATTTTAAATCTTGGTAGTATACCGAGACATTGATACATGCCTTGTGCACAGTTTATTTCCAACGAAAATTTAATTTTCTGATATACAGTAATTTAAGTACTCCGAAATAAGTGATTAAGTACTCGAAATAAGTGATAAATTGGCGTTACTAGTGATAAATTTTTATAAGGTAATTATAATTGCGTATACATATGTTTTATATTTTTTATACCAGCAGCTTTCTAGACTTGATATTGCATACATATATATATTCCTAGATTACAATTAAAATTTATCATATATATTTTTGCTTATATATTATATACGTTTATATAATTTCCAATTAAAAATTTTTATTTTAGTTGAAAAAAATAGAATTAGTCAAAGAAAGAAAGAAATCGCGAATTATTGAAATTATAATGTCAATAACTTTAAGATATGTCCTGTAAAAGAATTGACATAACTTACATTTATTTATAATATCATATAAATTTATCAAATTATTTTTAATGAGATTTTACTAATAAATAAAGTTTGTTCTATGACACTCGAACCAAAAAGCATACCTTTTATGCAAAATAACTGACCTTCTACAGAAACATTAACCGATAAATTTTCAGTCATCTTTCTGGGTCGCCTTTATTTTGTCATCGGGAGCCCCACGTTAGAACTAGGTAATGCTGATTCACTTATAGGTGCAGCACTAATTGCAGTCGATGCATCCACGTGCAAACTTGTACTATCAAAGATTTTCGCGAGATGTATTCTCTGCAAGTCTCAATATTGTACTAACTACATTTAGATTCTCTGTTACATGAACGAGCTCTCTTACAGAAGCTGGTTTCCAGTCGTAAGTCTTCTGGAGAAAGGTACCCCTTCCACTTTCTTTTTCCCTTCCATATACATTTGGTAGTGGATGCTGTCTTACCTGAAGAACAGCGTACTTTCGTGCAAGGTCTAACGTTTCGCATGATTCCAAAAAGAAATGCATTGAAATTCTTCTTTTTCTTTATGAATTTTCCAACTCATCCACGTCTGATGTGTGTTTGAGAAATCTCAAAAACTACACTCTTCTCTTAAAAAAAAAAAAAAAAAAAATTGTAATTTATAATCCGATTGTGCGGCAAAAATTTAAAGTTCGAATTTTTAAAATTGATAAGTATGACGAAACTCGAAACGGAGAAGTTCATTAGAACATTTAGCACAGCCTACCGGATTTATTTAGCACAACTCGCACAACTTGCAAATAAAACCTTGTTTATTTGACGTTACATAATGCATGACCATCCAAAATCTATTTGCGAATGCACGAGGTAAGAGTCACACGTGATATCACGTCGCTTTCACATGAAGAAAACACGGAAGATGTTCCTAATCGTCGATTCTAATCGGATGCAAGCGTTGCGCGAATGCGTTCACGAATTGTCTTCCGCAGTTAAATTTCGTCGCTTTCAGTCTCTTCCCTTTCCGAAAGGGTATTTTGATTAAATGTCACTTTGATGTCCACCGGAATCATTATTCGCGCAAATTCGCTGTTTCACACCCGGAAGAGCCCGCGTCACTGTCGCAAATTGAACAACGTTGACAAGTGGTCGACGAAAATCGACTTCTTCTCGTGAGAAATAACGTCTCGCAAGTGAGAGTCGCACGGCTCGTTTGGCATAAACGGAAGAGAAAAGTCCTCCCACCTTGGTTCTTCCCGCGTAAAGTCGTTCTACACATCGCAAAATCAAGTATCAAAGCGGTTCCCCCTTTCATGCTAGTGAAAGCGTAGATCATTACGAATCGAGCTATATTATTTTTACTGCTTTCGACTGTCTTTCTGTTCGTTTTAACATTTTTCAGAAATATAGAACATTATAAAAAAAAACATGATTGTCAAAATATGAATGTGTTAGCTTCGAAAAAATATTTTCATCGAGTATCAAGTTTATAATATGTTTATATTGAATATTAATAAGCTAGGTACGTACATATATTTGTGTGTATATATATATCTAGCTTATACATATTTATAATAAATATGCGCAAATTACAAACGATTTTTAATACTCATACATGGAATACATTATTGCCAGTAAAATCGTAAAAAATGGATAATGAATAAATATGTATCATTGCTTAAGAAAAATGAACTGCTGTAGTTATCTTAGTCCAAAAAATATATATGAATTTCTGCTTGATCTAATGTAATATTGAGTTAACACACAGCTCTAATATTTATATAAACATCATTAATAAAATTTTAATTTTAACTAACAAAAATGTTTAAAATTAAAATTAAAACGATTCTCGTTGATATTTTCGGTAAAGAAAAATCCTAAACTTATATTAGAATGGACAATAAAGAAAAATAAATTACAAAGTCAATATAAAGAAAATTAATATGGTTTACATTAAAATTAAATGGACAGCGAGTATATAAATAGCAATAATACTAAAAAGACTTTGGAAAAATTATATATTATAGAATAATAATACAGTATAATGTTCGTGGCAATAATGGTATAATAAACTATAATATATTCATATGTACCTGACAATAATAATAAGAATCTAAAATAACACAAATACTGAAATACATGTTATTAACAAATCAGATGAAGGGCGACGTCGAGGACGTTTTGGCAGAGAAACGAGCCAGGCCGCTGTAGAATTAATTAAAAGAAAAATGCCGTGATAAAGTCATAAAACTGACGAAGTTCGTGTCGGCATTTGAATACGCTACTTTCTCTGAAGACTTAAAAGAAGCACTTAAAAACCCGCTGTTTCAGTATCGTTATTAAAGATCCACACATTGCAAGAGATACGCAATTTAATTCATCTAAATAAACTTAAAAATAAAAAACGTCCGCCAACACACTAAGCGCCATCGAGAAAAAAAAATTGAAAAAAAGAAAAAAATAATTTGATAGTTATTTTTTTTATAGTTAAATAAAATTAACAGACTCAAAATTCTATATAGTCAGAACTCATTATGTTGTATTGTAACTGTAATAAATTCATATGAGAAAATCTTACATTCTTTCGTTTAAAATATTTTTTCTTCGTGACGAAACTTTGCTTTTCGCCAGAATAGTGAAAGTTTTGAATTTTAATAAAGTCCATTTGCATACTTGAAGAGAGGAAGGAAGATACGATCAAAAATGTATCGCGTCTTATTTAAATTCATGAGATTGTATCTGATCGTTGAATCTGATTTTTCCAAAGTCTATGACTTCTATTTAGAATTTTATGTATAGGTATATATTTAATTTCGTAAAAATTGAGCGCGATATAACGCATCGATTCGCTTGCCTAACTTAATCAATTACGAGTCGCTTATGAAGGGACGCTTAGTGTGTACTAAATAAAACAATATCTATATTATGTATAGAAGGGACTCAGAGGTCGCAATATAATAATTACACAGCCTTATTCCCACACCGTTTCTAGGAGAATTCAGCCGATTGTAAAATCGCCATTTTCCACAATAATAGAGGTATTTTCGCATCACATTTTTATTTTATGCGGCATGTTTCATCTTCTCTCCTCGTTTTTTATAATTATACGCACTGTCTCTCTGCGAAAAATTGTGGCCCTTTCCTTTACTACCGCATATATAAATTAATCGCGAGCTGAGATCTCTTTAACGTTACTAACGAAGCACCTTGAGAATACGATGAACAAATATGACTAATGTTCGGAAATAAAATTCGAGTTCTCTGGTTCAAACAGTTCGCAAGTACATATTAAAATATCGAAACATGCGACACGAGAATCATGATAAAAGTGCGGTTCGCAAATTTAAATAGTTGCAAAGAGTCTCCCTGTAGTAATCCGAATCGGGTCTCTTAAAACTATTTTAGCCTGATGATACATCTAGTAGAATATTCAGAGAATGATAAAATTGCCGCGAAAAGGCAGATTTTTCTTACAAAAATGCCGTTTCCAAATTGGAATATTAACTTGCTAATTTGTAAATGACGCTCAAAGTATTTTTCTAAAAATATAATTAGTTTTACAACTTTCTTTAATAATTAGAACTAGTTTTAAAAATAGTTTTTTTATATATATATAAGAACGTAATAAAATTGCGCTTTTCTTTAAAATGAAAGTTACGAAAATATTACGCGCGTATAGTGTCTGTATATTCGAATAATAATAAATCAGAAATTAAGGATATGCAAATAAAAATAAAAAACTCACAAATTAGATAACATTTACAATAAAACTGAAAAAAAAATAATACAGCGTTTAATTTGACACTGCATGATAGAAGAATTTAACATTTACGTATATTTATAACCTTTGGTATTCGTAAAAAAATAATGCTTCTGAGAATAATTTCACAATTCTTAAATAGTTAGAGTATCAGCTGAAAATTCGCACTATGAAGTATAAAAATATATTTTAATGAAGCCGACTTATTGGCAAATTTTGTTAGATATAAATATCACTTGTTCTTGTCATAAAATGTTCTGAAATAAAATAGATCGTGAAGAAAGGCTCATCCTGAGTTATTAAAGTTCAGGAAAAAAAGAAGAAAGTCGACTTCATCGACAATTAGATTTAACAACAATTATTACACATGATTTATGCGTAGCACTATTTGCGCGATTAAAAATCGACTCTTTCCAACTATTTCAATTTAAAAATGGCAGCTTTCTCCACCACTCTTATCGTGGCAGCTATTGTGGAAACTGTTAGAATATAATGACGGTATATCGTCTACAATTAGAGGCCAAACACTATTTTATACTTAGAGAAGACTGTTTAGCATTAGTTGGCGGCTACTTAATGCTCTTTAAACATTATATATGTTTCGCTAAAACTGCAGTTTTTGTTCAGCTCTTAGGGACAAGGTCGCTAATGTGCGGTGCGTTTAACGCATTAAATAGGAAAATAATGTGCGCGACCCAGTCGTGACCTAATCGAGGGCTAATTGGGCGATTATGTCTATATAGGCGCAATAAATGACCGATTAGTCTCGATCAGGCTGTATACGACGCATATCTTAGGCTGATAAAACTGGCAGAGTATCCAATTGAGAAGCGTATTTCCTCAGATCGGTTACTATACGGTGTCACTGTACATTCTTTCAATAATAAGATTGTACAGCGAGTTTGTGATGGCAGATTTTAAATCGCGTAATTGGCTCTGAGTTTTGGCGTTCAAACCGAAAGATGAATGATGTCGAAGGAACTGAAATGCAATCAATCTGCAATTGAGAAATTAAAAATGGATAGAAGCAGTTTTCTTTTTGTACGAACGTGATCAGCGAGTCATTGTCCGACTTAATTCGACAAAATTAAAATGTCGATTTTTCGAATTAAATTATATATTATATGTAATTTAAATATAAATAAAATATACAAATATATAATTTTTAGTATTAAGTTATTTATATTAGATTTTATACAGCCTTTGATAGCCAATGATAAATAAAATGAAAGAACGATCCTCGCTGACTGTACGTTCCGAAAGGAGAAGTTATGCGAATTTCGATAGGAACTTCTCCGATTGCTTTGTAGGAAGATAAGTACGAGAGATGATCAGATTATACATTCTATAATAAAATGCTTCTTTCCTCATTAACCTACGGCAACATTCGTTTAGCAATAATTACTTCGGCTTAAATCTACCATTTCACTCTAATGGTAGATTGTCGACAATGTCGCTGTATACTTAACGGAGCTGGGTAAAACACTGATTCACACATTGAAATCACAGAGCAAATTTCTGAACAGTTATTAGCGATTCAATGAACTATCACATGATGCGTTAATCAGTGAAGATGATCAATATCATAGAAATGATTTCGCGTACATATGTGACTACTTATCAAGATAAATCTCGCGTTACACAACATTCGGAGATCGCTGTTCTAAATAGCACATAAATGTATTCATTCACTCGACTACTGCGCTTCTATGTTTTACCCAGCTTTGGCGCTTATTCAAATTCAAAGTAAATGTCAATTCATTTTCGTGCATAGGGACGACGTTAGGCAGTGTCCCAGAATACCTCGTACACTTAAAAGTATTTTTTAATATCACTCTCTTTGTTTATCCGACTCCCTTTTGCCGCGAGATATTGGAAGCAGATCGATTATTTGTTTGATAGACGGATTTCGATTAGCAAACGTGAGCTCGTGCTCTCAAGTGATCGCATTCGTCGCCGTAGTGGGTACAATAATACCAAACAAATTAATTTAGCTTTGTTCAGAGTGTTTACATATACATACATACACTTTCAAACACACACGCATACGCATATGCTCATTAACATACTCATTTAGTCATTCACTCACTCTCTCTTTTGATATATATATATATATATATATATATATATATATATATATATATATATACACATATACATATATATACACATACATATATGTATATATATATATCTATTTTAAATCAAAAAACTTAAACATTTAACGAATTATTTGTATCATCACTTTATATAACACTTAGTTTTGTATAAAATCTAGAAGGAAAACTGAATTTGTCACAACTCATTGGCTAATTCAATTAAACAAAAATCTAATAAATTTCACTGTAACAAATGTTTTCCAATATTTTAGAACCTCGCAATATCTTTGTAGTAATAATTACAAGAGTATTACAAAAATAATAATCGAATTATACTTAAATACTAAAAACAAAGTAGAAGAAAATAATCTACATTTTAAATATGGCCATACATTGTAAAAAGTTGATTAATCAAACTGTTTTAAAATTCAAATTGTACCCAAACGAATGGCTTTTCTGACATTTCTATAGTCGACGATAGCTGATAAATAGACACGTTGATTTTACTCTAGTACTGTTACTCTAGTATGATCATATAAGCTATGTTCGCAACAGTTTTCACAGCCTGCTGATTAATTCTTAACGATCCATCCTTTGCTATCATTGCTGTATTCCGAACTCTGTAAGTTTATTCCAATCTTTCAAGAAGCAAAAACTCTAATAATAAAAAAAACTTTCAATATTGTGCGACAATTGAAAAGTTGTGGATCGCCAAGAATTAAAATATCGACTATCGAAGTGTCTTCTGTAGATGACAGTATTTTCAGATACCGACTATCGAAAAATTCAACGGCACAACGATTCGCCGCATTTGTAGAATTACGCACTATAAAGTCCATAATATTAGCTATTTGCGCGATGATATTCAATCGTCAATTTTCCCAAAGGAAGACGCAGATTTCGAGTGAAAGGACTCGAAATATCTCTCTTCTGTTTGAAATGTTTCGATCGTCAAAAGCGTATCTCCTCCTCTCTTCCTCTCACCTCCAAGTATCATTTGTTTTCTCGTGACTTTTCTATCAAATAATAATGTTCTATCTATTTACATCAAAACTCTCGTGACGGCACAGCTGCGAACCAGCTGTAGACCAGGCTATCACGAGAGTACAGGACCGACCTCGGTCGCGTCTTTGCAGTCTTGAATCGATATCTGAGCAATCTCGCTCACTATGTCCTCCTGAGCCTCTTTCTTTAATATCGTGTATCCCTGTCCCTGTTCCTCGTTCTCGCACGTCGCTTTACCATTAACCGTCTTCGTTTGACCGTTCACTTTTCTCTTGTTAGATGTCTCTTCGCCGGATCCGCTCGGGTTGATCTTGAACACGCTCTTGATGATGCTATTCATCGTTGGCTGCGAGCGTTTCGGACTCTCCGACGCGAGAGTATTATGTTTATCATTTCTCGTCATTTTTCGCGTTCGCGCATTGCTCCTGGTAAACTTGTTAAGATTCTTCTGAACAGTTGATTGTGGTGTTACTGGCACTTCCGTCTCTTTCGTTTCTGAAGGCTTATCTATTTGTACAGAATTCTCCTCACATGGCGGGTCACCAATGGTACACGCCGTTTCCGGATTGTCGATATCTTCTTTTTTCGTCGACGTATCTGCAATCACGACTTCATTATCCTTTTTTAGATCCTCATTCAGATCTGTCGCTAAAACAGTCTTCGGTTCCTCCGTTTTTTCTCCTGAAACTTTATTATTCTCCGTATGATTAGTTATATCCTGCCGCTCCGTCGGTGTTTCTCTTTGAAGAACCTTAACGGGACTTTTCGGCTTTGTCAAGGATTGATCTTCCTTCGTTTGGCAATTTGTACAAGTAGGTATAGGCGAATTTTGCCTCTTAGTAGCGTTATTCTTCTGAATTACTCCCATGTGCGGTCTACCCGTTCTGTGCACATTATTTTGTACATTAAACGGTCCAGGCTGCTCATGTGGTTGCGGTTGTACAGTATTCAAGTGCATTTGTGGTTGCTGTTGTTGCTGCTGCATCCTGCGAATGTCAACGTGCATCACGTTATCCATACGCGGCGACGGCGGCGGCGGCGGCGATTGTTGTTGATAAGCGCCGTATGACTGAAAAGGTTTGATCGGACTCGAAGGGTTAATCATTGGAGGAGTATTTGCGGCCGGTCCGTACGGCAGATTCGAATTAGGATGCATATATGTAGTATTCACGTACCCATGTGGCCATGGTTGTCTAGGTTGAAATTGATGCTGCGCAGTAATAACATTTTGCATGATTTGATCTTCTCTGCCGTGTTCCCGATAATTGTAATGATCAAGTGAGAGTACTTGAGGAACTTTATTATGATACTGCTTCGACAAAATAGGACCGGATATAAAAATCGGCTCGTTCTTGGGAATTACCGGACTCTGAGGCTGAAGACCATAATTGTCGTAATGCATATTTTCATTACCAATAGTTTTGCCATAAGTAGTTCGTAAGATACTGTTCGAGTGATACTGCGGTGGTTGTGGTGCGTACTCTTGCTGCTGCTGCTGCTGCTGTTGTTCTGGATACTGAGGATACTGTGATATAGAGGGTTGAGCATCGATCCAGGTTTCTTGTTGAGGTGGACGCTGCTCGCTATCGCGAATGGCTAACACAGCATTCCAAACTTCTTTTAACTCGCCCGTGATATCTCGGTCTTTTAGAATTGTATAATGACGAGTAAAGAAAACTCCTACATTCATTGCTTCTACAAAGTCTAGTAGTAGTTCGATAAAGCTCATACGCTTCTGTGGAAGATAATAAAATACATATGTAACAAGTAAATTACTCATGAACTATTATAAAAGTTTTATAGATTTTACTATTCTGTACATAATTCTATAAAAGATGAATTACCTTTGGATCCTGAGCATTCTTGCCACTCATTCGTAGGACTTCTGGATTGGCCATTACAGCAAACACAATAGCCTCTGTTTTTGTGCGAGGTGGTGGTACTCTCATACCTCCATAGAGCGGCACGGGCAGTGAAGGTCTGCGAGGCATTGCAATTTTATCCCAAGACAGTACATTTACGTAACATGGTGCAGTAGTGCCCTAAATCGAGAGAAGATTGATTAATATAACATTCATGCTATCAATTCCTTCGAGTTGTGTAAACAATATTCTCTTATAATAATCGTACTCTCATTATAATGGTATATTACCTGTATATAATCTTCTATGCACATATGCGGCTGCGGAGGGTTCTTAAAAAGTCGCGCACCATTGCGCTTCATTCTGGGCACATCTGTCATTTTGCAGCTGAAAATTTATTCGACCATAAGAATTCTATGCAAACAACTTTTCATCTGCGCTATCAAAATGCCATTTCTTTCGCACACAAGACTTTTCAATGTCAGTGATATTTACGACAAATACCGGAGCAGCGATCGACTAATTTCTCAAAAACATTTACATGTAGATACGGTTCACACGACTCCCATAATTTTAATAACGCGTCACAAGCATCCGCGGACGAGAGAGAATCTCAAAAAATTCAAGATTATTTGTCGAATCAGTTAAAAACTTATCGCACACGTCGTAAGTAGACTCCTCGAGATCCTGTGTTTCGAGAATTTCTAATTCACGGTATAAAATACGAAGGGAAACGCAAATAAACGGAATTAAAAACACTTTGCTATCAATATGGCGCAATATCAATAGCGGGTCGGAATAGCGCGCGTTATGACAGAACACGGATTTCGGGGACGCGGCAAGTGTCGCGCGAGCAAACGGACGAGCAATTATGTAACGCGAGTACGAAGGGAGAAGGACGATTCCGCGAGCGTCTCCGACCGCAATCGAGGTCGTTCGCACGCGGCCAAGGCTAAACGCGCGCCTACGGCCGACCTAACCTCAAAAACCCGCAACGAGACTCTCGCGTCTCGGCGCCGCGACTCGTCCGAATTTACAGTCGCGATTTTTTCACGAGCGACAAAAACTGGACGCGCTTCTTCTCTTTTCCCGGAACAACTCACCCCCAAGATGGTCTCTCGTTAAAGCAGAAACGCTCAAACAAACCGCACGGACCCAACGCGACGCATTCTCGAGCAGATTCATGAGCAGCGGATTCTTTTTGTTTATTATCTTCTTCCCGGAGGCTCGCGCGCGCCATCTCGCGGCGGCGCCGCGTCCAACATGGCGGCCGGCGTAGGGACAGTAGTGGCACGCGCCGGAAGCGAGAGTCAGCAAATTCCCTAGAACTCGCGTGCTCTCCGCTTGCACAATTTTGGCGGGAAAGGTTGGTCGCGCGTAATTGCGAATCGGAAGTTCGTCGATCTGTCGCGAGTATTCATGGGCCGATATTCTTCCATTGAACGATGTAAATGGTAAGTGTTATATTTTTCTCATTGTTTCTTCCTCGAAGATGCTCCGAATAGATATATGATTGTCATTCGATTTTTGATTAGAAAGAATAACTATATATTATTGATATATATTGCTCGAGAGAGAGTGAGAGAAAAAATATATTCGCGAATCGATCACGATGTGGAACAATGATAAATACTATCGCAAATATATTTATGGTAATTAATGAATTATTACATATCATCCTTATTTTTGTCGAAGATGCGCGATTTTTCAAATAATATAGACTGTTTTTTATTTTGGTTAGAAAAAATAACATCAAGATGTGTATATATATACTGTGTTTGCTGGGATGCATATTGTGTGAAGTTGGCGCTATTAGACTGAAGTTGCCGATTTGTAGGATAACGAATAGCCTCGACGAGTATCAGGCAGCTGCATCCCGCTGTGATTAATTAGTAAGTATATAATCGTTTCTAACTTTTATATTGTAATATTTATCAATCGCATATCATAATTTCAACGTTCATATATATATGTAGTCGGAATTGTTCGAATTCGAAAGTTATATTTCACGAGAAATTCGATGCAAAATTTCTTGCCAATGCTCCTAATCAACATAACCCAACCTAATCTGTTTTCGCACGCGCGAATGTATACGTGTTGCGATCCGTGTGCGGATATATATCCATCATTAGATTATTCTTTAATATATATGTATATATATGTATATATTTATATTTTATATTTTATATTTTATAAATATTTATAAATATTCTCTCTCATTAATGTTTTATAATATTATATATATTATTTTTATTTGTTACAGGTAACAGTTCACGTTTCGGAAATGCCGTATAAAGTATATCGGACGATCGTAATTATTCGTGTTTTCGCGAATTAATTAATGTTGTAAGTGTTACGAAGGATCAAGAAAGGAGGACGAGGACGACAGCGGAGCAACTGCGTGAGGTATGCAAAATAAATCCATATAACATTTCTTTTAAGAAACACATATTATATTTTTGTTTAAGTTATCTCTCTCTATATATGTATTTTATTTGTTATTACAGCTAAGCATTAAGTTGCACGCGAGTTCGACTGCAAGATTCTCGAGTGCCAAACGGATTGTTGTTTCATGATTATAATTTTCGCATTGTTTTCTCATGTACGCGAAATAGATTCACGCGTCGCGTCGGGAGTGCCGTGTAAAGTGTCGGGCGATTGTAATTATTCATGTTTTCGCGAGTGTCGTGAGTGCTACAAAGGACCAAGAGAGGAGGAGGAGGCTCGGGGAAGCATCGGGCAACGGGACAAATGAAAAGGTATGCAAAATAAAAATTAAAAAAAAAAATATATATATATAAATACATTATGTATATATGTACATAATTTGAATATTTTGTTTTCAGATCAATGGGCTGTGTACTACAATTCCGCAATTGCACGGCTCGGTGAGCGAGCATTGTTTATTTCATAACATTTCTATAGCGGTAATGAGAGTGTATGAAACTGGTGTCATTTTGTGAAAATTCATAAATAATTAAAAATTCTGACTTTATTTGCAATATTTCTGGAATGCTTGATAATTCAAATAAATTGTTTTGACGATTAAAGCAAAGAAAATGTCTTGGGACAAACTAATTTTATTAGTAATTATTAGAATTAAACAAATTTATGATTCTACATGAGTTCTAAAAAGAGTTCTGCTTTCTAAAAGCAAAAAATATTAAGTAAATTAAAATGAAGACAACTAAATATCTACATATATCTATAGATATTGAGACACCAGTTTTACATACACGTACATTATAATACTAACAATCTGAGACGAAATTTTTTTCTACTTTGATCTCAATTTTGTTCAATTTCAATTTAACATATATTTTGATATTTTATAAACAGACATACATATAATCAAATTACCCTCTCGACATTATTTAATTAAATATTTATAATTTATTAAATGAAGTATTTATATTTAAGTCGAAAACTCGTTTTTGAAATTTTTAAATAAGCATTCGTTTCTATCTATTTGAGTAGAAAGTAAGAGTTCTCTTATGATTTCTACATGAATTAAATTTATCGAAATTCATATATAAACGCTAGAAAATTGAGATTGAAAGTAGGGCTAAAATTTCGCTAAATACAAAATTTTGAAACTCATACGAAGCTTGTCGAGAAAGTATTGCGGCAATAAGATTCTATTGTCTCTACATATAAATTCGTAATCGCAATTTTATTCATGCTCTCTCTCTAAACCGCAGTCACATTTACGAACTGCTCTATATAATTATTAACAAACAATAATCATCCAATAATTCAAAATCAAGTTTTATCGTGTCAACAAAACGTTAGCGTGCAACAATTTCGCGCGAATATGATGTTTATCCTTGACGAGCAACGAAAAACAATCAGCGGAGCCGAATATAGCGGCAAAAATAAAATAAACAAACGCTCGGGCGACGATCGAGAGAAGCGTCTTTTATACTGAAACTTGCTGTAGAGCTTGTATAAGAACGGGCGGCTCGGAGGACTGTAGTTAGCGACTATTAATATCATCGATCGGGATCGATAGTTCTGCCTGCGAGGCGTCATAATGATATGGTGGATGGTGCGGACCTCTCTGATACTTGGCCGATACGTCACGTACACCGGTAACGATGTACAAGTGGCGTCAATAATGCTCGCAAACATCGCGCCCTGTTGTACAATCTGTTATCGTTAACTCGCTCTTTCTCTCTCGGAAACCCCGTCCGCTAATGCTCGCCGCTAATGATCCGATATTAAGAAATAAAAAGATGGTGTTACAACGCCGATATAGCATTATTGGCGTTAAAATCCTTATCCCGCGAGAAAATATTCACATCGTAAACGTCGCAAGTTTCCTTTTTTTCCCCGATCGACAAACGAATCTATCCAATACATGACGTTCGATCTAAACCCGACATCGATTTTCTTTAACGCTCATTTCAAGTAAATTTCCCTTCGATAAACTACTTAAATTTACGCGAAGATAAATTTTAGAATATACTAAATTTAATATATAAATATGTATAATATATAATATATATATAAATATAATAATTAGAATATATGAGATTCTATTTAAAATTTATCTGATAAAAGAGAAGGAATTGTACAGACTTATTTCTTGCACGTGCGTTTAAAAAAAATGCAAAATTGTTTTAATTTATGAATCACAAATATATCATCTCAAAGATTTTTTTAGCGAATCAAACCTGAGCAGATATCACGGAGATAAGACAATTGGAAAGCATATCTTACCGATTGTCATGCATGTATTGTCGCGGCCGGCTCGTGCAAATTTGTACGTAAAATCGCGCGAGTTCTCGCGTCGTTAATGCGTGCCTCGATCGTTCCGCTCGATCCGTACGACCGGCACGATCTTACCTCTCGTAAGGACCCTGTAATGCGGAATAATGGGTATCCACCCACTCGATGAAAATTACATGAGACGCTCGGGCCCCTCTCGTTCTCGGAGAGCGGCCACTTTCTCTCCACGCGCGCGGATCCGAGGAGCACGTACGCCCGGGCGCGAAAAACGCGCAGGAAGAATTAAGGAGGTGGTGGAAAGAGAGAATACGGGCATATCGTGCCAAGAATAATTGTTTACTAGGTGCAAACACTGTAATTAAAATCTAAGGTGATACAGATCCGAGATAGCAAACGGTTTCGTATTGTACCGCGGATTCGCGCAGGTGGGACATCCGCACATCTGTCTTATATGCCTCGCATTTGCATTCTCTTTTTTTGTTTTTGTTGTAGAACATCTTGCGTCCAAACGAACGCAAAACGAAATAAAAATTTCGAAAAAGGTTTAAGAATTTGATTAAATCTTTAAAAAAGATGAATATTATATTTCTATATTTTATGTGTAAGAGAAAGATACACAGAGAGAATTTTCTCTTAAAATTTACCCTGAAAATCATGCTAATCATCGGGTAATATTGTATTGGAAGAATTTTATGAGTTTCCTCGATTAATATTTACCACAATAGAAAAATTAATATTTATCACAAGATGTAAATTATGTTCGCTTAATTTTACTATGTTCATAGTTCTATAATTTTACTATGTACATAGTAAAATTAATCGAACATGTTTCATATCTTATTAGTAGATTAATGTACATATTAAAATTTACAATGTACATATTAATAATTTATATTGTGGTAAATATTAACCAGAAAAACTCTTATAGAATTCTTCCAATACCATATTGTTCCATGATTACCATAACTTTTAAGGTACATTCTAAAAGAAAATTTTCTCTTTGTACACATATCCACAATACACATACTTAATAAACTTGTATCTCTATTATAAAATAATTTTTTACATGTATTTGCATTTCTAATTACAAAATTGATATTTTTATATCTTCTATTTAATCTGATATAAATATAAAAATATAAATAAATATATTATTGCATTATTATATGTTATGATGCAACAAGATGTGCAATAAGTATAAATTCTGATTTTATATGTTATAAAATAAAATGTATGTCTAAATATAATGTACATTATTATATATGTACATACATTTATTTATACATGCATTTATATATGCATTATATAAAAATACAGAACATACTTATTGCACATCTTGTTACATCATAACGTGTTTGCAATAATAATAGTGGGTAAAACGTGAGTTTGAAAAGGAGAAAATCACCAGGTGCGTTATGTTACACGATCGGCGGCCCCACATGGCTCGTCATTTAAATTAGTCGAGAGCAGCCTCCTTTCGAAAATTAATTGACGTATCGATTGGGCAGACACATTGTAACGATGTCTCGGTGGTGCCAGCTTATACTACCTACCACATAAACAATGATCGAATAATGACGTCGCATTTTTTATTCGAGAATGATAAGCAAGCATGATTATTAAAAAAGTGGAATTATATATATATATATATATATATATATATATATGTAAATGTCTATATTTTTCTCTCTCTGCTCTATATTATTATATTAATGAAAAAAATTAAAATTATCGCTTATTGTAAATATTATATTAATCATACATGGGGAAAAAATTAGCCACTGTGGCTTTAGCTGTCCCTACATATTACAACCTGAAATTTAATTATCATGCCTAAATTTTAATTACGATAACTAATACTAATATTTTTTGCTATAGTAAACAAAGAATTCTATATATCTAAAACATATATTAGCTATCATAGTTAAAATTTAGGCATGATAATAACTAAATTTCATGTGTGATACAGAGATAGATTTTAGCTATAATAGCTAATTTTTTTCCGTGTATAATAATTGCCATTATCATTCAAAAGGTGCACATATTTTTTGTAAAAACAAATGTGACAAGAGTTATAATTATTATTAATACTGTACGTAAAAATTTCTCGCGTTTAATCGAAGGCAACCGCAAGCGGAAAAGATTGAAACGAATCCTACACATGCAAATTTTGGATTGATGCGATGTTTTTTTCGATAAACGAAAAGACCCAGCAAACACAGTATATAACTGTTATATACTTAAGCATGTTACATGTAACGTATATGTAATAGTTGTAATTTCCCACTCATAGATGTAACATTTTTAATATTACATATATTACATTGTAGTTATATTGTCATTATATCCCAAGATAGCACTGACTTATCAATACATATCAATGTGCTATTTCCTATATAATTACAATATAACTACAATGTAATATATGTTATATTAAAATATGTTACATCTATGAATGGGAAATTACAACTAACACGGATGTTACATGTAACGTACACGTTATATTACCTGTTATATTCCGTTTTATTACAGCAATGTAACAATTATATATCGGTGTTTGCTGGGTTAGTTCTAATATATACTCAGCAAACACAGTATATAAATGTTATATACTTAAGCATGTTACATGTAACGTATATGTAATAGTTGTAATTTCCCACTCATAGATGTAACATTTTTAATATTACATATATTACATTGTAGTTATATTGTCATTATATCCCAAGATAGTACTGACTTATCAATACATCAATGTGCTATTTCCTATATAATTACAATATAACTACAATGTAATATATGTTATATATTAAAATATGTTACATCTATGAATGGGAAATTACAACTAACACGGATGTTACATGTAACGTACACGTTATATTACCTGTTATATTCCGTTTTATTACAGCAATGTAACAATTATATATCGGTGTTTGCTGGGAAATCTCCCGTTGCTCTCGTTGCGTTCGTTCATTCTTCACCCTCAGCCGGCTCGGGAACGCAAAAATGTCGAGCGGGCGACGTG